ACCATTTCCGCCCCCTCTCTATGGTTTCAAGCAGGGGGAAGATTTCCCTCCCAACAGGAAACTCGAGGAGGGCGTGGAAGGAACGCGTCGACGTCACTTCCGACGAGAGAAAGCGTTGATCTGGCCTGCTGGCTGGCCTCGCTCTTCCTTTCGCCGCCATCATGGGCCGCATGCACGCTCCCGGGTGAGGGCTCCGTGGAAGAGGCGGCGGCGGGACGGGAATCCCAGGGACGAGCAGGGGGTGGAGGACGGGGACGGGCAGGGAGCCTCTCGGGGGTGGCAGTTCCGCGCGGTGACCCCCCGGGACCCTTTGCTGGGCCCTGGTTACGTCCCGCGGCTCTTCTCGCCCAGGAGGCCGCGTTGGCGAGGCGGGCAGAAGCCTCACTCTCCTGGCCTTTTCCTCACTCCTTTGGCGTCGTCCTTGTGTGTGTGTGTGTGGGGGGGTGTCGGTGGTGAGGGGGGATATTGGCCTTCCTTCGCGACTTGTTTCTTGGCCTTCGGAGCCGTTGCCCGTCTTCTGCCCCCCCCCCCGGCCACCCGCCCAGGCGCCTCGGAAGCGCCGCTTTAGATCCTGGCCGCCTGTTTTAGAGGCGCTTCTCCTGCGGAAAGTGGCCGGGTTGGGTGGGTGAAATGGCTGGGCAGGAACGGCCCTCTCTTTTACCTTGTTAAGACCTTTTTCATGAGGTTTTGTGGTTTTAATCAAACCAGAAACTGAGATTTTTAGCCCTAGTGGTGTGTGTGTGTTTTAAGTAGACTGAGCTTATTTTTTTAAAATCAGTCTTATTGAGATAGGCTGATTATTAGATTTTTAATCCCCATTTGTATCCACCCAACCCCCCCAGAATTCATGAATAACAGTAAAATCAACAGAGTACAGTTCAACCATAGATAAAACAGATTACACGCACATCTATAGAGTAGAAAATAGCACACTAACCCAGTTAAAAGATTTCCTTGCATCCCCAAAGCTTAATTAACAAGTGTCTGCATACAAAAGGTCTTCACATTGGTCTGGTTTTATGAACAACAGGATTGTAGTAGGCCTTTAGAGTCTGGTACTAAATAATAAGATACAGGTTTCCTGCATTTTATGGCTATATGTCACAAAATTTTGTATTAATAGTTTTTTTTCTTTAACAGGAAGGGTCTGTCCCAATCAGCCTTGCCCTATAGGCGGAGTGTGCCTACAGTAAGTACTGACTTCACTTGTTTATAATCCTGTTAGGACTTTATGTGGGAAGTATTTAGTGATGTAGAGTTGAACAGTGCTCAGATGGAATTCCTTCTAGACAAAAATGTTTGTCACACACAGACAAAGGGATATAACCTGTATTTGATGAAATGGTATATGTAAGCAGATATTGCAGTAAAACTCTTTAACCATGTGGAGGGCCACAAACTTTGCTCAATTCATAATATATTGTATCTAACTTGTATTACTTGGGTTTGGAATCAAGCAGCTTAATTTGTCAGGCCATAATAAGCAGTTGATGAAATGACTATTGCAGACTTTCACTAATGTTGTCGTATGGGAACCAACTGGTATGTGCTGTTTTGTTTTACTAAGGACCCCCTTTTCAGAGGCCCTAATACTGTATAATTTAATTGCACCATTCAAAAAGGGGCTAAAAGGTTATAAAGCCATACACACTTCTGTTTGTTTGGATTTTGGATGAACAGATACACAGCTTTTTATGAAACTGACAACTCAACTAAATTTTTACAGTGGTTGAAACTTACTTCTGATGATGTCAAAGAGCAAATCTACAAGCTGGCAAAGAAGGGTTTAACTCCCTCCCAAATTGGTATGTATTTGGTAATTATAATCATGCTGATCAGTTTATCTGTTGATAAATTTAGTTATATCTAAGCTGGATAAAATGTTTATACTGTATTTCTAATTGTGTGGTCTGAAAGGTGATATTGGAGTGGTAGCTCTACTTTGTTTCTGAATTAAGTTCAAGATTCTCATTTAAATCTGTAAAGCATAGAACTGAACTCTTAGATACAAATTATGCTTAGTTAACAGCTAATTGAGTTCCTAGCAACTTAAATCTAAAACTGCATAATTTCTTTTATAGCTCCCTGGTTCCATCAGCACTGCTAAGCCTGCAGGGTTGTATATAACCTCAACCTGATTTGTTGCATGCAAATACTTAGTTAACATCCAGATTACTAGATGTATTGCTAAGTATGCGGAACACTATCCTAGTTAGATTGTTAACAGTTCTTCCAGCAAATAAGCATGTTCCATTGTTTTGGATAATCCTTCCTTGGATGAGCGTCCCTGAATATACTGCTGAGTTTTTAGATATATGCAATCCTCTTGTCTCTTTCAGGTGTAATACTAAGGGACTCCCATGGTGTGGCCCAAGTTCGTTTTGTGACTGGCAACAAAATTCTAAGGATCCTTAAATCCAAGGGACTTGCTCCTGATCTTCCAGAGGATCTTTACCACTTAATCAAGAAAGCTGTGGCTGTCCGTAAACATCTTGAAAGAAACCGCAAAGTAAGGAATTGGCTATATTTGTTCTCACTTTTGTGATAAAATAGGGCATGCCATTACTCTAAGGTGGGTTAAGCTACTTTACTTGTGCTTTATCAAAGGCCAGGAAGAATTATGTCTAAAAGTTAAATCATGCTCCCAAGTATTGGTATGGAGGGGCTGCACGGCACAATACCCACCCCAGTTTTAAAGCAAGGCCTTAGAGTTGTTTTGCATTTCAGATATGGTACTCATAAACAGAAAGAAAGTATCGAATCGAAAATTTTTATTACGGTCATTGACCAGCAAAATTAAGATACATTATTTAAATTTGGGGACATAAAAACAATCTAAAACCACTAAAGCACCTAAGCACTAAAAACATCCATATACATATATATAAAACCACATTCATACATCTTACTAAATATCTCCTACTCCCTATCATAGGCCTTATCTATGGGCTGTTACAGCTCACATAGAATGCCAAAATTGTTACTTTGGAGCTCGTACAGCCCGTGTGAACATTACCAATTTATACACCAATTTACAGATTCTATAGCTGCACTCTGGGTGGAACCTTTCCTTCATGGATTTTGATTGCAGCAGCACAGAATTTAGCTATTTTTGTCAGCATATCTGAATTTAGCCCAGTATATCTGTCAGGGCATCGCCCTGTCAACAAAAGTACAGGATATTATTTAACAAATGATGTTATGCTTTTGCAGCTATTTTCCAAAAACATCTCTGTAAAGATCTTTTTTGGGTTTTTTGTTTGTTTGTTTGTTATTGTAAGGATAAACATGCCAAGTTCCGTCTCATTTTGATTGAGAGCAGAATTCACAGGCTGGCACGTTACTACAAGACCAAGAGAGTACTCCCACCTAATTGGAAGTAGTAAGTGCAATTTTTCTCTGTATTCTGGTGGGGACAGGTTGTATAAATTAGGCAACAATTGTCTGTTTCTATACTACAATGCATGAGTTGGAAATCTCTGCCAGGTTGAGGAGTTGAATGCCAGTTTGGCTGACAGACGTTCCTACCCAAAAGAAATGCTGCCAACAAAACTAGCAGTATAATCCACCACTGAAAGAATGGTGGCGCTGCTCTGAACAGCTTTCCTAGCGTTTCTGTGACTTTTTAAAAGTTCGTTTTGGTTTTTCTTTTTTCCAACTTGCCTAGTCATCAAGTATTGATTGCCACCTTTATTTTAGTTTAGAAATGAGGGTGTGGGGTTTTTTTGCTTTAACTGGCTAAAGGAAGCCTGGAAGTCATTGAATTCTATCGGTATTCTTACGGTGTTTTGTAACTTGCCACAGCTAATTGGAATTAATTGCTGAGGTACTGGGCTAGATCTCAGATGTGCTATTGGGCATGTGACCAAACACACAACTAAGATGTCCCCTCGCACCTAAAGTGTGCATTAGTTGCAATTAACTGTGCAAGTTCTGTATACTGTGTGGGAACTCCAGTAGGATTCTGGCAATTACTTTCCAGTTTCTCACTGTAAATTAGGAAATACTTAATCCAAGGGAATAACCTGTTTCCCCCAAAATAAGACCTAACCTGAAAATAAGCCCTAGTATGATTTTTCAGGATGCTTGTAACATAATCCCTACCCCCAAAATAAGCCCCAGTTAAGTGAAACCCTGCCCTCCACCATTGTGCAGCAACCAGAAGAAGAGGACAGGACTGCATTTGAATAAATGTAGATGGTTGTATACATGAAAAAAAACCTTACCTTGAAAATAAGACTTAATGCAATTTTGAGGCAAAAATTAATATAAGACCCTGTCTTATTTTCAGGGAAACACGGTAGTTTCTTAATTGTCTACATCAAGCAATTATTTATTTATTTATTTATTTATAATTGTCTACATCAAGTAATGGAAACACAAATGCTTTTAAGCTGAAAAAAGGTTGTGACCAGTTATTGATGACAAAATAAATTAAAATAAGTTGGATTAAAAATACAAAAGCTGTTGATAAACTGAGAAAGCTGTTGAGTATGTATTAACAAAGGAGGTAATTTAGGGAGCCTGTTGATGGGCATTGAAATTGTTAGATCTAAAATTTCCTGATTTTAAAATACATCTTCACAATTACGATATAAGAAAAATCCTGTTTAACACTCAAGTATTTCCAATATTCTAGCCTATTTACCTCTGAGAAGCCAATAAGATTTTAAATTAATTAATATATTGCCCATCTAGCAAATGTCTACCCTAGGTGGTGTACAATAGAAATGAAAACAAAATTTATATAAAACATAAATTATATAAAAATTAACTACAGTAGTACCTTGGTTTATGAATTTAATGCATTCTCCAAAACATGTAATGCAGAAAATTTGTAAACAGAGACGCAGATTGCCATAGGAACAGGGGCGGCGCTATAAATGTCCAGGCACAGTGTATCCTGGGGAAACTTCCTTAGTACTGCAGAAAAAAACCCGTAAATCGAAGCATTATTTTCTATGGATTTCCATTCATAAACTGAAAATTGCATTAACCGAGGCATTTGTAAACTGTTATGCTGTTATTTCATTAGAAATAAGGTATAGCTACAAAAACATTTTCTCAAGCCTCTTATTAGTATTTGTCTCTTCATAGTGCTGTGCTTTTGTACTGAAATAAAGTTACAGTTAGTATTAAACCAGCTAGTATGCCTACTGGCTTAGATTTTCTCCTTACTTCTTTGAGTCTTTAGTCCAGCGGTGGGTTGCTCACTGTGATGATGGCATTCCAAACATTCGCAGTTTCCACCAGAAAGGTTTTTACCTTAGTGTTGGCCAGTCCTTCCTTGGATGTCTGAGTGAGCTGCTGCAATTCACTTTAATTCCCAAGCCTTACTTTGATGGAGCTTCCTGACACAGTGTGTTTTTTCCCCTTTTTTCTCTTTCAGTGAGTCATCTACAGCTTCAGCTCTGGTTGCATAAGAGCCCTTTTCACCAAGGGAATTGAATCATTTCCATTCTGTGCCCTGCCATACCTGCTTCAGAAAAAACAGTATCATAGGTTTATTATTTAAGTTGGTAGAGTAAAATGTCACCTTGACTGTACCAATAAAAGCCTTTGGTTTTTTTCCTACCGGAGTTGTGAAATTGAGTTTTTTGGGGGGAAACTGTGTTGTACAAATGAAATACAGTACAAACTCAGCAGTGGTGCTTTATGTACAGTGCAAGGTTCTGAATGTTCATTAAGTTGATATATATTTTGAATGTTACTTGGCGTTCTTCGGGTTTTTCCTCTAACAGCTGCAACCTGATGTGCCTTTCTGAATACAAAGGGAAAATTGATTACCTGAGACAGTTCCTGCTCTTTTTTCATGTAGCAGGTAGCTTGTGTGCAAAAATGCACAGCTAATTTGAGATGACAATTGGTTGAAAGAACCATCTTTTGAGCTTAGAAAAGTAAGAACCCCTAACAGTTATGTAGGATGTAAGCATGCATATTTTCATGCCACTGTGGTTGGGTATAGTAAAAGAGCAGTGGGCAGTGCATCACTCCTGAGCTTCATGGGACCCCTGGGGCTCCCTAAATGCTTTTGGGCTGCCATTGACCATTTTCACATTCCAAAATGGAACAGAAAAGTGGCTGGTGTGGGTTGGTTGTACTCCCCAGGAGCTGTGGTAGAGTTAGAAAAGTTTCTTGCTTTTAATAAAGATAAAGTATTAGATGGACTGAGGGTTTTCAAGATCTATTTCAGAGCAAGCACAGACATACTGAGAATACGGACTTTGGAAAAACGGAATGTTCTGTTCTCTGTTCTTCAGCATTTACATAACAAAGCATTTATTAAATTCTGAATGAATGTCAGTCTTCATTTGAAAATCCAATTATACTTTGTTCTGCTTTAATCTGTGACAGGGAAAGTACCCCATGCCCGTTATTGTTGGTTGGTAAATCAACACAGTGGTGCCTCACAAGACGAGCACTTAGTTTTACGACAAAATTGCATAACAATGAAGGTTTTGCGATCGCAAAACGATGTTTCCTATGGGGTTTTTTCGCTTTGTGATGATCGGTTCCCTGCTTCGCTAACCGATCATCACAAAATGACGATTTTCGCACCGCTGATCAGCGGTTTCAAAATGGCCGCCAGGTAAAAATGGCCGCCCACTGTTTTCTGGGACGGATTCCTCGCTGCATGGGCAGCGAAAATGGCCGAGCTATGGAGGATCTTCGCTGGATAGTGAGTTTCAAGCCCATAGGAACGCATTAATCGGGTTTTAATGCGTTTCTATGGGCTTTTTAAAATCGCTTTACGATGTTTTCGTTCTACAGCGATTTCGCTGGAACAAATTAACATCGTAATGCGAGCCACCACTGTAATCCCATGTTACAGATTGATAGGTACATCTGAGAGGAAGTAAGTTGCTTTTTAGAACTCAGTAGGCAGCTCTTCTCCCAATATGGAAAAGTAGGCATTGATGCCCCCCACCCGCTGGGACTGATGCTTTTTTGTAACTGGTCTGGAATCTGGTGCGAGGAGCGAGTGGGCTACATTTGTAGAGAAGACCATACTATTGATAATGGTGAAACCTTAGCTGGGGAAATGATGAATAGACAACAATATGCCAAGTTAAATACAGGTGCAAGTGGAAAGTGGTACATTTTGGATCTTTTTGTACGCTAACTACAGAAGAGAATTGTCCAAGATTCTGATGGGGCCTTTATTATTTCCTTATAATACTAAATCATCATGATGGGAGGACGCCTTTGCTGTGAAGAAAGGCTGAGGTAATTTGAGCTTTATGAAATGTCTGTATTATGTTCAGGTATGGTCCACGTGCACAAGGTTGTCAACATTTAACATGTACAGATTTCTCAGACTGGTAAAGGCTGCCAGTCAAGCATACTTCGCTAACCGGATAAGTGAAGTGTCCAACCAGCAGGCGGAGCTATTCCGTATAGTACGTGACCTGTCCGGAATTGATCTGAGTGATGGGCCTCCCCCTAGTTTTTTGCCGGACCAATTCCGGACCATTTTGCAGCATTTTTTAAATCGAAGGTGGAGGCCCCCCGCCGGGACCTCTCTCTTTTTGAACACAGTGAGTCGAGCAGAGATGTCCAGCGTTCCGTCTTGTCTGGTGATTCTTGACTCCTTCCAGCCTGTCATGCCTGACTCTGTGGCCAGGGTGCTTGACCGCTGTCATGCCACCGCCTCCTCCTTGGACCCTTGTCCGGCCTGGCTAATCAAAGCAGCCAGGCCTTCAACAACGGAATGGGCCACGGCAATAATCAATGGGTCTTTCCTTGAGGGCAGGTTTCCATCTGTCCTCAAGGAGACACTCATTAGGCCCATTAGGAAGAAACCTAGTTTGGCGGCGGACGAAATTGGCAACTATAGGCCCGTCGCCAACATTTCTTTCTTAAGCAAGGTGGTCGAGAGGGTGGTGGCCGATCAGCTTCAGGCGCTCTTGGATGAAACAGATGCCCTGGATCCATTTCAGTCGGGCTTCAGGCCGCGCCATGGTACAGAAA